TGTGTTCAGAAATTATTCTTATTTTTTGTAGTGATTTTTTTTTTTATTATATTTTCCAGAAAAGGACAGCAAATTTGCTGGGTTTATTGGCAAATCAGGGTCACAAACCAATCTCCTTCCTCATGTCTGATAGTACACAAGAAGCTATCTTCATGTAATCAATAATTCTGTCTATACCAATAAATAAAATGCGCCTCAGATCATACTCTGGCCCTGGGGGCAGATCATAGTCTGGCCCTGGGGGCAGAGACACAGCATACTGAAGCAGATACATCATTATTCCTGGAATGGAATAGGTCTACCAACCAGGAACGGACCCTTTCCCATGCTAACTCCCAAGCCATGCCCAGGCAATGTCCTGTCTTAACTGACAAAAATGATGCCAGGATTTGTTAAAACTTGCACTTTAACAGTTTGATGTCTGAGGGTCAGTGCTCAGTGTAGACAGTCTATGTGGTTAGGGCACAATCCAGACCCCAAGCACAGCAACATTAGGTTGTCCTGGGCTGGAGAAAGCATGAGTAATCTTGCTCCAGGACATATCTCAAAAATCTTCATCAAGACTTCATACACCCAGCTTTGTTTTCCCGTTCCACCACGGTCTATCTGCATGACCTTGGGCAAGTCACTCTTCTGGCTGGGCTGCAGACTGCAGCGTAGTGTAGCAACAACTGTGAACGGGCTAGAGAGTGTCCCCAAAGCAGTGGGAGCAGGCATTTTCATACAGCCTGGTTCACCTGGCCTTTCAGAAGAGTAAACGAGCCTACAATGACCCCTAGGTTGCCAGAATAGATTTTAAACCCATCTCAGACATCTGAAACCACACTGCAGTCTGCAGTCTGGACGCAAGTGCCATCTCTCTGCTCCTTCTCTGGTGAGCGGAGAGACCAGGACTTCCCAGCTTAAAGAGGGGCACTGAAGGTAGATGCATGCAAGGCTACAAGCTCTTCCAACACTACAGCAAGTAACAATTAAACAATCATTACCCTTCACAAACAGATTTTCTTAGGAAAAGTCAAGTATTTTCATTAGATTTTGCAGCCCAATAACAGCTGTTTCAAAACCAGAGCAGTTTGCTGCAACTTGCTCATACAGCCCCCACAAAGTTCCTGTGAAAGACTTGGGAAAAGCTGACACACAGCCAGCCTTCAGCCAACTTCACCTGAGAGAATCAAACCAATTTGGGCTCCAGCAGGAGATAAGAAGAGGGACAAAGTGAGAGCTGCTCACAAGGCTTGAAGGAAAGAATACAGTACAAGAAGTTTTTGCGGCTCCCAGATGGAGCAGGAGAGAGGTTGGAACAGCTCAACATTGTCTTTGTGGTTCGCAAACCAGTACATGTTGACACTTGACCCATGCCAGCTGCAGACTAAACACATCTGGGACACCTTCGCGCTTTGTAAAGCCACCATACTGTTCTTAGAAGACTTCTATTCAATCTGAGGTCATTATTAAAAGAACAAGACAGAGAAAAATCTACCAGTACAAACGAAGCAATGTGTCCTTTGAAGAAGTGAGGAAATCTAGACGATCCTCTTGGGTCCTTAAGGTGCAGGAAAATTTAGCTGAGAAATCTCCCAAGGACATGGACCGGTGAGTGTGACAAATACTGGTTCACACTGATCAAGGGCAGCCAGATTTGACTCTCTTTTTGCATTCGCACGAGGTCTAGCCACAAGCACTCCTTCATGTCACAACTCAAGTCAAAAGAAATAACAAACCTCGTAGCTACAGCCACAGGGGTTGTTCTGTTTGCTGAACATCCAGAGATTGATCTACCCCAGTGGGTGCAGCATCTGAGGTATTCCTGATTAAACACGTCTAGACACCCCAAAACAAGAAACACAGGCCTGGGTTTCTACAGCTTTTGCTCACATGCGCGGAGAGAGGGAGGTCAGTAAATAGCTTGGGAGCCCAGATTTAATCAATATTTTGGCCATGGCTTGAAGGAGAGCAAGAGATAAGCCCACAGCTTCCTAATCCTGTAGCTAGGCAGAAGGGACTGCAGAGATGGCAGAGAGGGTGCTCACCTGGTGAATTAGTCTATACAAAGTAGTAATGTCCCAGCAGCTGAGCCAAAGAGAGCAGAGGAGGAGAGTCTCTGAGGACACGCCAAAGCTGAAGGCCAGTCCAGGTTCAGGGCTGTCTACAGTACCACAACAGACTCCTTATAGTACCAGAAAGAGAAAAACCATGGCAAAGTGTGTTTCTCTTTCTCAATAACACCAGGGACTCTCCCTATCCACAGAAATTGGTTGTAATCGTTAGTTCTGCTCAAAAGTGCAGTCACAGATTTTGGCAGCTTTACTTCCCTTCACTGAGAATTGGGTACAAAGCTGCCTGCTCTGTCCAGCTTTAAACCTGGGTACTTAAGGGCATTTATTCCTTCATCCAGAAGATGATACACAACAACTGTTTGAGGGATTGGAGGTGCTGGGCTGGTATTCAGCAGTGCTTAGAGTCAGACATCTACACTTTGGGAAAACCTTTCTCTGTGTGAATTATCTACTGATCACTTATTCCAACAAATCTCTAATCCAGACCAGGTTATTTTTACCTTTGCTTTCATCTTTAAACAAGGAGGAGCTGTAGGCACTCTCCTAGTAAAAAAACACACTGCAGGTGACCCCATCCTAGTTTTGCCAAGCTCAGTTAGGGTTTCTCTATGCAAGAAAATTAATCTGGATTGAGAGAGTAGAATGACTATTTCTGTATAAGACTGCTTTATAATTATGTTAGTCCAGTTTATCAGTGTTCCCCACTGAACTAGCTTAATCTTGACTTCAACAATAAGCATACTGGAAAGAAAGCACTTTAATTCAGCAATAGCAGAATTGTCTTCACAGCGAACTAAAAGACCAAATTGTTCAGGGATATGTAATCCAGAATAACTTGTGTTTCTGAGCACTTCTTCCATTCAGGACTTTCCAGCAGCAGCAAGGACACCTTTTCATTTCCATACACTCAACTCAAACAGCCACAACTCTGCACAAAGCAATTGCTGTAACATTTAGAGCAATGGGACCAAATCTGAACCGTCCCACCTGGCCCTTTTACTAAAGCAATAAGACCAATAAAATCAATTTATGTCTCTGCTTCAGTTTTTGGAGCGGGGACTGACTTTACTTTTTTCCTGGTAAACGAACAGTAAGAAACAAATGGTAACTTCAGGATCTGGCCGGTACTTGCAAGAGCACTACCTCCCTCATCCCTGACAATCTCTTTGAAAAAGGGTGACAGGTAACCCCAAAGAGCATGTCTGGTTTACAACAAGGACCAACCTTCTTCCCTATGACCAGAGCCACGAGTAACTGGTGTGCTAGGGAGTTTATTACACTCTACTAAACAAATCCTGCCTCTGGTGCAACCCTTAGTGGAGCATGCAGATATACTGTGATTCACAGAAACTTCTCTCAGCAGCCACCTGCAAACTTTGCACCTTATTTGCTCATAGCAGGTTAGTCCTGGTGAACTGGATTGCTCCAGATGAGAAGGAAAGCAAATGGGTACTGGTGTGATAGGGGAATATTCCTGAGCTCATTTGTGCCAAATTATTTATTCTTTTAATTGGAAGGACTGAAACTTCTTTCACCTTTTACCTTGTTTCGCCTTTGCTGGAAGCCTCTAGCTGATGGGATCTGTCCCAAAACTCCATCCCATCCATCAACAACAGAGTTAATTATTTTCACACCGAGAGAAAAAATTCCACCTCCCTTCTGCTTCTTGGCATGCAGGTAAAGAAAAAGAAGGCAGGACACCTGAAATCGCTCCTGGCCCAAGCCTCCTGCTCCTCCTATGGCACTTGCGGAGGCAGGGAGATAGGGGAGCTTGTTGTGCATTTGAGGAAAGCCTTATCTGGTCATATTAAACATAAAAAATCCCACCACGACAGTGGGACTGGTAAAGGTGACAGTGAAATCCCAGCTCTCAACCCCCCACCGACCTCCTGTCCCTTCTCCCCGATGTATTAACCCCTCAAGGCATTGCAAAGTCTCCCGGTCCCGAGGCTGTTCTCCACTCCCTGCTTCTCCTGGTTCGTTAGCGTACAGTCCCCCCACCCTCCCTCCTAGTACAGAACAATAGCAAGGCACCGGTTTCAGCTGCTTCCCGAGGAAAGCCCAGATCACACACATTTAGATATATATATAGAGAGATATGATTATATTTCTTTTTGCTGTTTAGGACAAGAAATGAAGTGCTGCCTCTTTAATTGGCAAAAGCATGCAGTAAGAGCATACCTTTAATTTAGTGTTGGGATAGCTCACTTGCACCCTGGCTGTTGTCTTATTGGAGAGGGCAGCCTGCCTCAGATCCTCTAGCACTGAAATAATATCATCCAGCACGCATTTCTTATCCTGATTTCTCAACACACACAGATGGGAAAAAGTATAATTATAGCCTTTGTAGTTCACCTTCATTTCCAGCACGGCTCGGTGGATCTGCAGGATCACATCAGCCTGATGCAAAATATTGCCTCCGGGTTTGGAGAGGAGAATCACCCTGCCATACCTCCCCGGGGTGTGCAAGTCCGAATACAGCTGGCTTTTGGATTGATCGAGGGAGAAAAGGCTGCTGGCTAAGCTCCTCTCGATCTTGGCCAGGCTGTGGCTGGGGGCTACCAGGCTCTCCAGGTCAGTGTCAGACTGGAAGCAGCTGAGCAGGCTGAAGCCGAAGATGATGGTCAGGACTGCGGGCACAGTGAGGAAAAACACCGGATGCCTGCTCACGAATAAGCCCAGCTTGTAGAAAAACGACTGGAGCCCTCTGTGTATCACCTGCCGCAGCATCCTCCACCAGATCCAGCCTGCAGATGCTCCTGGCCGTCTTAGAAAGCACATGTGACATGTGTAGCTCCTTACCCCTTCCTGTCAGTTTCCCTTTCTCTCTCTCCCTCTCTCTCTACTACTCCTTTAAAAGACTGCAGCAAGTTGCAGCAAGACAGCCAAATATTGATCAATGGGGAGTGTGTGTGTGCGTGTGTGTGTGCCGGGGGTGGAAGGGACCGGGCAGAGGAGGGAGGAGGAGGGGGGGTCCTTGCTTGCTTTTTTTTTTCCCTTCTCTTTCTCTTTTTTTATTTCCCCCCTCTCTCCTCCCTCCTGCCCCCCCCCGCCAACGAGCACCG